TATACATATATTTTGTATTTGTAATGTTTGATTTTTATAAAATATAGAATGTAATATGATTTACATTTTTTTTTTCATATATACATGTATGCTTTTGAATGCTTATGCTATTACACACATATACACATACACACATACATACACACACACACACGCACACATATCGATGGCTTAACGTAAGGCTCCACCATACTCGAACAGTAATATTATGGTCCTCCACCTACCACCCCTATAAACGTATACATCCCCCCTCCCCCCTCCCCTTTTTATATATTAAACAGGGCTGCTGTATGTATTAATTCTAGTCGGCGCTGATTTCAGTGTCAAACTCACCCCTGTGAGATAGAGTGTTAGATGTGTCGCTGTCTCAGACATGAACCTGTGGCCTTACAAATATAGATCTATGTGTGTCACGACGCTGAGGAATCGGGCGCTCGTCAAAACTATGAAAATTAAAGAAACCGGCTTTTTTTTCCTGGCTGTTGGGTAATTTTTATTTTATTTTATTTTTGGGGGCTCAGCACCTTTTGTATCCATTTAAAAACTGATTTCCGTGTGGATTTTACCTAAAAACATTTCTTAAAGGCACAAAAAATGAAAATTTTCAGTTTCCAAAGACTCTCAAGCTGTGGGAATTACCAAACTTTGGCAGATATTTCTCACTAATTTAACCTCTGAAAGCAGGCGACCCTGACACACCCCCCCCTCCCCATTCAATCGCAAATATTTCGACTTCTATTCGACATAAATGGGTAATATTTTCACCAAAAGCGAGGCAAATGAACTGGCAGTAAGATAATATTGATAACCCCATTTGCCCAAAAATTGGCGAGCGCTTGATTCCACCATGTCGTGACACATATATATGTATGTATGTATGTGTGTGTGTGTGTGTGTGTGTGTGTATGTGTGTGTGTGTGTGTGTGTGTGTGTGTGTATGTATGTATGTATGTATGTATGAATGTTTGTATGTTTGTATGTATGTTTGTATCTATGTATGTATGTATGTATGTATATATTGTAGTCAAATCTCTTGAATAGTGTTTTGATCATATGAAAAAATGCAGAGTGGAATCGTGGAGTGGTTGTTTGTACAGGTGATTGTCTTGGACAGTTCGCGGGCAGTATTGCACACAGACGTACGTCATTTTTGGCGGCCTTTGAGATACGTCTGTTTGCAATACTGCCTGCGAGGTGATTGTCTTGGACAGGTGATCGTTAGAGAAGGTTCTGCTATATGTGTGTGTAACTCAGGAACGTAATATTCTATTTTTGGTGGGTGGTTGGCGGGTGCTCTGGTGTAGTTTGCTCCTTCTTTCCTCTTAAGCATTTATCGTCCTTATCTCTCTTCCTTCTTTTTTACGTTTGTTGTTACTCTCTTGTAACACCTCTAATCTTCAGCACTTATATGACCTTATTGTGTTGCAAGTGCCGTAAAACTCTTTACTAAACTAAACTTCTATTTTTGTCCTCCCCCGGCAGGCTTGAAGAACTTCTCAAGGTCAACCCCGAGTACTTGGAGGAGCGGGATGCGGAGGAGAGCAGACAGATGAAGGAGGAGAAAGAGGAGGAGAAGAGGAGGGCCAAGGAGGAGAAGAAGACTGCCAAGGAGGAGAAGAAGACTGCCAAGCAGGAGAGGAAAGAGGAGAAGAAGAGGCAGGAGGAGGAGAGGAAGAGGAAGAAGGCGGAGGAGAAGGAGGAGAAGAAAAAGCAGAAGGAGGAGAAGAAGAGGCAGGAGGAGGAGAAGAAGAGGCAGGAGGAGGAGAAGAAGGCTTTGAAGAAAGAGAAAGGGAAGAAGTAGAGTGACCAAATCAAGAAAGAGAAAGAGAAGAAATAGAGTGACCAAATCAAGAAAGAGAAAGAGAAGAAATAGAGTGACCAATGGTCCTACTGAAAGAGGAGGGTCGCTGTTTTAATAAGATGTTAGTCGATAAGGAAAGTCACTGTTTTAATAAGATGTTATTCGATAATGATAGAATATTGATTATAATATTATTATGTCTTGTGAGCTGTTTTGTTTTGTTTGGGATTTTTGTTGGGTCTTTTTTTGTGTGTTTTTTAAAATACTTTGGTATCACTAGGTTTGGTAACGCCACCGTTGAGAAAGGGCAAGATGAGATCAAAGATTTGTCCCCGCGGTTTTATGCAAAAATAAATTCTGAAATTATGCAAACTGAGCCAAAAAATGTGAAATTATGCGATTCTGTTCATTTTCACAAAGAATGATAAAGGAAAATAATCCGAAATTATGCACACAAAAAAAATGATAAAATTTTGTGGGTGCATAAAACCGCGGGGACAGAAAGACACGTACCTCTGTGGGCTCGGTCGGTGACTCGCTGTGAGTGTGATCTGGATTGATTGGATTGATGATAAAATACCAAAAAAAACCTCAGTTTAACTGGAGTTGTTTTAGGGAGGTGTGTTTTGGGTTTTTTTTTAAAGTCTTTAAACCACATCGGATGTTCTGAGTGTCCGGTGTTAATAACCCTGTTCCCTATCGGACTAGTGACAACTGGTTTTTTGTTTTTTTTAATGTAGTGCTAGTACTAGTAGAGCCTATTTGCTTGTTTTTTCAAAACTGTTCCCAATCCAAGTTATTAAGTAATGACTAAATAAGCCTTTGTTTCCGCCATTTTAAAGTTGGAGACAAGCTTTTGGGGGTTAGAATGAGACGTCATATAGTGCACCAGCGATTGTATGCACAGTGAGCTTGCCTATGGCATCCTATTTCCTTTTTCCCGATGTTGCAATATTGTTTGGGTTTTTTTT